ATTAATCCCAACATTAAAGCATTCTTTTTTTTTTTTTTTTTTTTCTGAGAGTCTCACTATGTTGCCTTGGGTAGAGTGTTGTGGTGTCGCAGCTCACAGCGACCTAAACTCTTGGGCTTAAGCAATTCTCTTGCCTCAACCTCCCAAGTAGCTGAGACTACAGGCACCCGCCACAACACCCGGCTATTTTTGTTGTTGTTGCTGTAGTTGTCATTGCTGTTTGGCAGGCTCGAGCCAGGTTCAAACCCGCCAGCCCTGAGGCATATGGCTGGCACCCTAACTATTGAGCTACAGGCGCCGACCCTGTAAAGCATTCTTGCTTCAGTGATGTGGCTGATGCTTTGAAAGAACTTGTCACTGGCCTAACCTTGTAAAGGTTAGTTTCATTAGAAAAATGGGAGTGAATGCTAAATTATTGATATATAAGTATAGCATAAGCATGTACAATCAGTTTTAAACCATGTGAATAAATCTGCTGTTCTAAAACAAGATAATAATATCCTACCAAGTCAGCACTGAGTAAACAAGATTTCGATCTCTCATTTTAGGCTTAGCACTTTAAAATTTTATATCCAATCACTTCAGTTGTATAGGAATAACTGAGTTTTGTTTGTTTGTTTTGCAGTTTTTGGTAGGGGCTGGGTTTGAACCCACCACCTCCAGAATATGGGGCTGGCGCCCTATTCCTTTGAGCCACAGGCGCCACCCTAAACTGAGTTGTTTTTATAGAAACTTGAGTGCTGCATAGTAGTAGAAAATATTTTAACTTCACTATTCACTAAAGATGAAACCATATGACTAAAACATTGTCACAGGTTCTCATTCATATGTCGAAGCTAAAAAATAGTGGATCTGATGAAGATAGAGAATAGGTTGGTAGTTATCAAGGCCGGGAAGGTGGAGGGCAGTGGATGAAGAAAAGTTAACTAATGCGTATGAATATACTGTGAAATAGAAGAAATAAGACCTGATGTTCCAACATCAGCAGGGTGGTTAACATTAATCTACTGAACAATTTGAATGTTTCTTGTAAAAACAAAAGATAAATAAAGTGTTGGATATCCCAATTATTTTAATATGATTAAGTGAATGTATTATATTATCATGTGTACCCCCCAAATACATTGTATTTAATAATTGACAAAAAAGGACTTAATATTGAATAACAGACATAAGAGTTAAAATGAGTACTTGAGACATTTGACCTCTAAGCCTGCTCCACCTCAATACTGAAACATCAAATTAACCACTTACCTAAAAGAACATGGACTGGCTGAACTCAGTCCTCCAGTCACTGGTACATGTTATATAAAATGGTCACAATCTGTTTGGTTGGAGTTTAGTACGTGAGAAGCGTAGTTGGGTGAGAAATTACCGCAAAGATAAGCGAAGCATTTAACAGAAATAGTTTTCAATTAGTTTTATATGAAAACATTTTTGACATAGTTCCCTGGGCAACACAAGACTCTAAAGTGGTCTGTGTGGGAGAACACCACAATCCTGGCTCTACTTTAAAGCAACCAATGTCATGATCATTAAATGAGACCTGTGATCCTGGACTGAATCTGAAATAACAAGAAAAAATAGTGGGACAGTTGGCAAATTTGAGTTAGGTTTCTAGAGTCTAGCATTTTGCCAGTGTTAATTTCCAGCCATTAATACACTGCAATACTGTAGTTATGAAAGAAAATGTTATATTTTCTTCTAGGAAACACACACTACAGAAGAAAAGGGACATTGTATCTGCAGCTTTATTTTAAATGTTTCAGAAAAAACATGTCTCACAGACACACAGTATGAAAAGAGAAAAAACAGGCATGAGAGAATATTAGCATTTGGGGAATGTGGATGAAGAATACATAGAAATTCCTTGCAATCTTTAACTTGTTTGAAAGTCTTAAACAATGTCAAAATTTTTTTTTTCTTTTAAATAATGTATCCACAACATAAAATAGTTTAGAAGATGACTACTAAGAGAGCTCAGGCATCTGAAAATCGGCATTAGCAACTTTTTAGAGGCAAACTGGAAAAACCTACCAGAATTTAAAACATAAACATCTTT